CCCGGTTCGCGCCGCTCAGACCCCGGCTCAGGCCCAGGCCCCGATCGGACCCCGACCCCAGTCCCGGACCCCGGCCCGCGTAGCCGTCCGCTCCGAGTTCAAAGCACCGTTCGCCACCCGCGCGCCGCGCAGCCAATGCGCCCGCGCGGCCCTGGGGGCGGGACCACTTCTGGGGGGGCGGGGCCACCACGACCCCGCCTCGAGGCGGGGGGCGGGCCCCGCGCCTTAAAGCGGCCGCGCTCCGGCTGGCCAGCGGAAAGGGCTCCTCCGAGCCGCCTCCCCGTGTGCAGCAGGCGGCGGGACAGGGAAGGGGAACGGGCGCGGCCGCGCGGACCCCCGGGAGCTTGCTGAGTGGGCTGCTCCACTCTCCCCGAGAACCGGGCGTCCTTCCTCCGCCCTGCTCCAGCTCCCCGAGGGCCACCCCCACGCCTAGGGCAGGTCTCCGAAGGTCACGGCTGAGGAGTGGCCTCGGCGCTCGGCCAGTCCCCGCCACTCCCGGAGCCCGGCCTCCTGCAAACACCCCGCCCCAGCCGAGGCCCTGACCTTGCACCCTGTGTCCCAAGGCAGCCACACAGGCCCTGGGGTCAGCCCTGGGACACGTGCGCCCAAAAGAGGTGGCACAAAACCTTCTTGGAGCCAACCTGCGAATTACATGAAAACTAGGGGCAGAAGACAATCCACTCTCCGGAGCTCCCAGCCAAGGCCAGCCTCAGGTCTGCTCTGACCAGACAGCCCCAGGCAGCCATCCCGGAGTAGGACAAGGGGACAAAGTTCTGAGCCACGGGGGTTCAGGCTCCTGGGAAGTGGCAATCAGGAGGCCGGCTGCCTGTCCCCATGAGAAACACACCTGTGCACACGTTCCCACTTTCATCTCACCATCCAGCAAACAGCAGGTGCAAGTGCTGGACAAAGACACACCTGCTGGGCAAGATGGAAATTGGAATCCCTGGGGCCACATGGACCCAGGGGTTCTCCGCACCTGCTGAGAACCCTGAATAACAAGTCCAGCTGGCCTCTGAGCGCCCAGCAGTTATCTCGCTGTGTCAGAGGCGTAAGATGGGCCAGCAAACCTATTTGCTTCAAGTGGCCACCTGAAGACTAAGGAGACTGCCTTCCAGAAGGCTAGGAGGCTTCTGACCCTGAGGTCATCATCTGGGGAAGTGAACAGCCCAGAAATGCTGTGGACTGGGGAGGTGGAGGGAGCGTCGGCCACACAGACATCCGGCTTTTTCTTAAGAGGGGGGGAGGCGGAGAGATGGGAGCTGCATCTGGATGAAAACACAGGCCAGTGGGACCCGGTGCTGGAAGGGAAGGGTCGGAAGGGTCGCAGCAGTTCTCCAGAAGAAACCAGAGAGGGGGCGCCTGGCTGGCTCAGGCGGAAGAGCATGTGACTCTTGATCTCAGGGTCGTGAGTTCAAGCCCCACGTTGCACATAGAGCTTACTTAAACAAAAATTCAATTGTATTTTTATACAACAGCAATAAACAATCTGACAATTAAATCAGGAGAAACAATTCCATCAAAGAGAAAGAAAGAAAAGAAACCAGAGAGGATGCGAGACACAGCTCCGAAAGGAAATGTGAAAATGTGTCACCAAACAGCAAGATGGCTTTCACAGCTGAGCTGGCCCTTTGTTTAAAAAAAAAAAAACAGGGCTACCAGACGGAACTGGTAGGCTGCAGAGGAGGGGCCCCCTTGTCCAGGGTCCTATGGGAAGTAGGAGCACCTTTGAGCCCACTCCCTCTCTGAGACCCAGGCCAGCACAAAACCTGCCCCTGCACCAGTCTCATTCAGGATAAATCGAGATGTTGGAATCCTGGATCACCCGAGGGCAATGTTATCATCTCCTGACTAAGCAAACACGTCAGTGGCGTGGAGCGGGCAGCCCAGAAGGTGAGGGGCCAAGGGGCCAGCGCTTGCTGTGTACAGATGGTGGGCCGCCCAGAACATGAGACACAGCACGAGCGATCTGCGAAGCCCCGCATAGAACGGGAGAAGCCCCGGAAGTGCGGAGGAATCTTGGAAAATGGTAAGTGCGTGGAGTGTGGGGAGTCCTCTTAAGAAATAAGGGGTCTAGCTTTTGGCTTTCTGCTCAGGGGTGCGAAGGTGCTACTGTCTTCAGTAGTCCCCAGTCCGAGTTCCTCCGACAGCGGCCGCCTCCACCCTTCCGCCTACGTTCCACCCCGAGCAAGACGAAATCAAACTCGTGGACCTGAGGCGCGCCAGTGGGGGGGTCGGGGCTACATCTGCCCTGGCCCCGAAGCTCAGCCCTACTGGCCTGTCTCCAAGATAGGTTGGTGATGACATCACCAAGGCAACCAGTGACCGGAAGGGTCTGGGGGTTACAGTGAAACGGACCATTCGGGACAGGCCCAGATTGAAGTGGTACCTTCCACCTCTGTCCTGCTCATCAAAGCCCTCAAGGAACCGTGGAGACAGAAAGAAGCAGAAAAATATTAAGCCACAGCGGCAATGTCGCTTTTGATGAGAGTGTCAACGTTGCCTGACAGATGCGCCACTCATCTTTAGCCAGAGAACTCTCTGGAACCATTAAAGACCTCCTGGGGATGGCCCGGTCTGTGGGCTGCAACACCAATGGCTACCACCCTCAGGGCACCACAGAGGACATCGACAGTGGCGCAGTGGGATGCCCCACTAGCTAAGAACTACGAAGGAAAATACTTCCGTGAAGGATCATTTGGCAACCAAAAAAGGAAAAAGGTGGGACTTTGCAAGCTGCAGGTCAGGGGGGACTCAAAAAGATCCCCAGCCAAATTCTCAAATGGATCATGAAGACTTCTGCATAAATCCAAGGGGCTCTGAGATGCAGAGGTCAGGTGAGGTCTCGAGAACAAGGCTGCTGGCCATGTCTCTGGAGGACGTCCGTTCCTGAGCGCTCCTCATGGCGCTTAGGGAGCTAGGATGGCACCACACGGGGGCCAGGTGGACACCAGGGTTCCTGGAACGGGCAGGAGCCAGGGGTCAGCTTCAGATCTCCCCCTGCCGGGCCCTCTGTGACCATTTCGTCAGCCTGGACGAAGACGCGGTACGCAGATTCCTACCAGGATCTGACGGGACCTCGCGAGGTTCCGTGCTAGTAACATCAAGCCAACGCAGGATGCATAGACCTACCTCCTGGTGTCGAGCCCACGGGCCACGGCCAAGTGGCCTCCGGGGACCCAGGGCACACCCCATCTACTGCCAGGTCTGAGACACTTGGCCAACTGCACCACAGCGGGTGGAGGCCACAGCTGGGGCGGGGTGGGCGGGGTGGGGTCAGGACCACGAGGGACTGTGAGGTCAGGTCGGGGGCGCCAGGTGAGGCTCAGCATCAGGGAAGCAAAAGTAGTACGGCCCGAGGCACACGGTCAACTGCGCTTCTGAGCGGTCAGCCCCAGCACGTCCAGGACGCAGTGAGGCTGTCATCATCCCAGGAAGGGGGAGGGGAGGAGAGTCCTAATCATCACCCACAAGTCCCTTGGAAAGACAGGGGCTCAGAGCACACACAGACTCGGGCCACCAGTGCGAGGCCGAGGCTGAAGGCTATCCCTGACTTTAGATCCTCCCTTCCCCTGGGAAGGGCAGCTGGGCCAGCAGGATACCCAACCGGCCATACCCGCCTCAGGTGGCCCAGGAGTCACCTCTGCTGAGGGAAGGCATGCCCAGAGACCTGCTGACGGTGAATCATTAACTCCCTGGGACTGTGCGGGCCACAGGTTTGGCTGGTGGGGCTCTCTGGGTCAGGGAGCAGCCTTCTTACAAGGAGGTCCAGCAGGGTCCTCCGGGAGGGCCCACAGGTGGCACGCCCACCTGGGCACATGCCAGCTCCCCAGACCTGTCCTCAGGGTACCCAGAGCCCGGCACTCCCAGATGCAACATCTCCTTCCGGGCCCGCAGCCCTGTCCTTGCAGACCACTCTTCCAGCATGGCCAGGGAGGGGACACGGGGGCTGGCCGTTCTCAGGTACACGCCTCACCTCCTGCCTGTCTGTAGGCCAGTGCTACGCTTCCTGCCGAAGACCAGCACCGGTGCCCCACGCCCACCTCCCAGGTCACGATCTGACATCAGCCTCGCGGCAGCTGCCATCGCTCAGGCAAGCTGGGTGCTGCCCCAACCCCCCACCCCGTGCCCCCCTCCGTGAGGTGCTGCCGGACCTCTGAGGTCAGGCCCCTGCACAGAGAAGACACAAGGAACGCTGGCCGACCCCCACGTGCCCCGCAGGGAGCGAGCCCTGCCACCCCTGGGCGGCCTCCCTGGCAGGCAGGAGCTCCAAGCCAGCCCGCACCGCCCACTGGCCGTTGACCCAGACACACCACTGCACACACGGCGCCCGAACAATGTATTTTTCTCAGTGGCCACCAGGGGGCGCGTGTTGCCTCTGGTACGTTCCAGAGTTCATCTCCCCGGTGCTCACACAGGAGCTGCCCCCCCCCCGTCTCAGCAGGTCCCTTGTCTGTCCCGGAGCAGAGATGGCAGAGCCAGTGCCAGAGCTCTGCCCTGAAGCCGCTCCCACCATGGGTCCCGGATGCCAGGGCTGGAGCAGGAGGGGGCCTCCCCCAGGTCAGGTCCCAGGGACCCCAGTCCACCAGTCCTCAGAGCTGGCCTATTCTAGAACCACGGTGCCGCCCACCGCCTCCAGGGCTGCCTTGATCTTCTCCGCCTCGGCCTTGGAGACATTGGCTTTGATCTCCTGGGGCAGGGACTCCACCAGCTTCTTTGCCTGCCAGAGAGCAAAGTCAGAAATGGGGCCCATGTTGCCCCAAAAAAAACCTGCCATAGGAGGGGCCGGTCTGAGTACCATTAGCACGTTAGCGGCAACAGCCAGAGGGCTGTGCAGCGCGGAGCTCACCTGGACGAGGTTTATGCCCTGGATGTAGTTCTTGATTTCTTTGATCAGCCTCACTTTGTCCACAGGCTTTGCCTCTGTCAGGCGGACGGTGAAATGCGTCCGCTCTTTCTGTCTGGGGATGTCTTCTTCTGCCTCCTGGGAGAGGGAGAGAGAAAGGATGGGGTAAAGCAGGCACATTCGGTCCTGTGGCCCCAAAGTCGCCAAGATGGCACAGCAAGGCCCGCAATTCCAGCGGGAGGCCGCGTCGGGCAGCTGGGCTCAGGACAAGCCGGTCCGCCTCGACAGCGCCGGGGCCCCTCCCTCACGTGCTCCTCAGCGACACCTGCTCCATCGCTGGAAGCCTTGCCATCTCTCCGGAGGCGGTTCTGAAACCACCTCCCCCCACCCCGACCCCGCTCAGGTTCCCTCGTCCCTTGAAAACAGTCACTTGTGGCCGGTCAGGGTGACACCAACAGTGCTCGGCCCATCCTCGGGCGAGCCCCAAATCACATGGACACATTTGCAGCTGCACCGTCCCCAGGTGACCAGTGGAGGACTGGGGTTGACAGAGCCTCTCCCACCGCATGTGAAGATACAGCACCGCGGAGAGCAGGGGGCACGCGGCCCGGCAGCCTGGGGCTGTCCTGCTTTGCACCTGCCCTATTATTAACAGTGTTCCTTCGTCCCCCAAGGTGGCCCAGTTTAGATGACAGACTTCAGAGTAATTCTCTCTCCTTGTCCCAAACGTTCAGGCTGAACATGATGAGTCTGTAAAGCTACCACTTCGTGGCAGGTGGGGGAGTGGATGTGATGCCATGGGAGCCACAGACACATATGGAGCCGGGAGGGCACTCTACGGGACCCCTGACCTGGTCTCCTTGGTAGGGGATGGATGGTCAGGGAAAGGAGACCGAGGACAGTGATCCAGACTTCAGACACCCAATGACCAAATGCAATTCACAGACCTCGTATAGATTTGGGTAAACCAACTGTTATAAAGTCTGGGACCATTAGCTAAATCTAAATAGACTGAGATAGAAAACCACTGCTAATTACATTTGTTGTACAAATAGCTCCTGGCTACGTCAGTACCTGCATTCTTAGAGATGTGGGCTGGAGCGCACCAAGAAAGGACAGATCAGAAATGTGCCCTGAGGGGCACCTGGGTGGCTCAGTCAGTTAAGTGTCTGACTTCCGTTCAGATCACGATCTCATGGTTTGTGGGTTTGAGCCTCACATCGGGCTCTGTGCTGACAGCTCAGAGCCTGGAGCCTGCTTCAGATCCTGTGTCTCCCTCTCTCTCTGCCCCTCCCCTACTTGTGCTGTCTCTGTCTCTCAAAATAAATAAACGTTAAGAAAAAAAAAAAAAGAAGCAGAAAAAAAAAAAGAAAGAAATTTGCCTTAAGCTTCAAAGGACAAATGAATTAAATATCAAAACCTTACTAATTATTGAGACTGGAGACAGATACACAGGGCATTATCTACAGTTGCAGATAGAACTTCGAAACTTTTTGTAAAAATTGCAACAGCCCCCAACCAAACTAAAAAACCTAGAAAACAAAAAACAAATTCACATGTGGCTTCAAGTCTGCTGGTTTCCTTACAGAGACCCCAGCCTGTCCAGTGCCTCCCCACCTCACCGCTCCGGCCCCTGATGTGCCCCCACGGCTCTCTCGCGTGCAGCCCCCTTGCAGCTTGCCTCCTGTATCCTCACATCTCCTCGGCTTTAGGGCCTTTCTTGACATCATAACCCTCCTCTCCCCTCAGCTTCTTCCTTACTTTTTTCTCATAGCACTTCTCAAGTCCTGCTATTCAACAAAAATTTTCTTCTTCTTTGACTCATTGTCAATTCCCCCCGCGAAAACGTGGTCTCCACGCGGGCAGGGACCTGCACACCCTTGGCAGGGCTGCAGGGGAACCCAAAGACAGCACACACAGGTCTGCAGGACGCGCTGACTGATGCAGGGCCAAGACAAGGGACGAGAGAAATCTGGGCGTCGGGCCATGTGACACGAGGCAAGACGGGAGCCTTTCTGCACAGGACCCTGGCCTGGGCTCACCTCTGGGGCTGCTGCAGCAGGGGCAGCACCAGGCACTGTGCCACCCATTGGCATGAGTCCAACATCCTGGATCTTCAGGGTTTTCTGCAGGGAGGGGAGAGAGCAATCTCAGTAGCTGCCCATCACACCCAAGATAAACACACAGCCTGGCAGGATCCTCACATTCAGAGGGCACACTCTGGACAATTTACTACACACCCCAAATACACCATGAACAAGACACAGGCCAGGGCCTGTGGTACCTTCAGAAGCTCGTTGAGATCTGAGATCTCCAAGAGCGTGAGGCTGGCGATGTCCTGGACCAGCTGCTGGATCTTGGGGGGATACTCCTTGGGGGCGTTATCCAGGGGTGCGCCGGCGAGGGCCTCCCCCATTCGAGGGCTGCTGCATCTCATCAGCCGCACAGCGCAGACACGGGGCACCTGTTGCCTAGCCCCCCAAACAAAGCTGTCAGCCTGGCACAGGCCAGTGACACAGACCAGACAGGTTGATGATAAGAGCGCAGTTCTAGCTCCTAGGTCCCAACCCAGGGTTCTCAGATTCCAGGGTCCACGCGAATAAGGGGATTTCCCAGCTACCTTAAGCACTTCAAAGAGCCGTAGAAATGCACGCAATTATCTGCAGACAGACTACCCACACCGTTTAAGTTTCCGTGTCGGAAAACTCTCTATCAACCCACGGGAGCAGGGCAGTAACCTGACGGCATTTTGCTACACTAAGGCCTTCAGAACCTGGGGCCCTCGGACGGCACAACGCCGGGCCCACCGATGGAAGACCTCCAACGTCACTAGGCCTGTAGGGGAAACTGAGGCCCGCAGAGCGGCAGGGACCTGAGCAAGGTCATCTGGGACCACCCCTAGCATTCTGCGCAGCACGCGTGGTTAGGGGGCCGGCAAGTGGGGACCCCCGCGACCCGCACCGCCTCCGGGCCCCACCGAGTCGGGGGTGGCATCCCGCCCGCCGCACGCGGACACCGCCCCCAACCTGCACCCTCAGTTGGCGGCCCAGGGCCCCGACCCTGCCGCCCCGCCAGCCCTCGGCGGACCGTGGTACCTGGCGAGACGGAGCGCAGCGCCCTGACGTCTGAGACACGGCCCCCAAAAGGGGCGAGCGGCCGCCGCCAGCATCGGTCCGCGGGCGGGAAGGTCACACGCGGCTCCCCAGGAGGAGGACGCTCTAGCCGCCCGGGCCGCCGAGCATACGAGCTGCGTGAGGACGCTCTAGCCGCCGAGGCCGCCGAGCATACGAGCTGCGCGAGGGCGCTCTAGCCGCGCGGGCCCGACGGGCGAAAGAGTTGGGGACCGACGCTCTAGCCGACGAAGCCGCCGGGCAAACGAGTAGGAGAGGACGCTCTAGCCGCACCTCGCGCTCCCTTCCCGAGATTACCCACTAGGCGGCGAACCGCGCAGGCGTGGAGGGTCGTTGGTGGCGGCCGGGGGCCTGGGCTTGGACGGTGACCGGCTGGGGGCCCTCTACTCGCTGGGGGAATCAAGGCCAGAAAAGGCCGACGCTTGGAGCCAGGCTCCGTCCGATTCTGGGAGGCGGTCCCGGCCCCCGGGCAGCCCGGCCAGGGAGAACCTGGGGAAGCCTCGCGGCGGCTGACAACGAATTTCCGCCGCCGCGGGGCGGGCACGGGGATCCCAGGTGTCCTTTCTCCGCAGGTCGGTGCTGGGGGCCTTGGCTGCCCGCAGCCGGGAGCCACCTAGTGCGGGTAGCCCCCGCTGCCCTCTGGGCAGTCTTTTCCTTGGTTTCCTCCTCCTTCTGAAGGATTGCCTTTCCCGCCCGCGCGGTTCCCGTAGCCTCGGGAGCGCCTCGGCAGCCGAGTTGGGGGCTCTCCCCTTACAGCGTTGCCAAGGGTTGTGATTGAGCTCTGAAGCGTCGAGGGATGGAGCCCTGGACGGGAGGGCTAGCCGTACACCTGGCTCTGTCTCCAGCTGCCTTTCCAGCCAGCTCCCAGACATTCTGCACCTGCTCTTCTGCTTAGACCTCTGTAGCTCCACCCCGCTCAGGCAACACCTGCCCTGAGGGCCCTGGGTCTCTCCTCTTCCAGCTCATTTTCCAAGAGCCCGGCATGGAACCGCACTTTAGATCACGAAAGCAGAGCCGTCCTCTGCCTCAACCTCTTGCTCTCCTGGCCCTGCTTTTGACCTGCACTCAGATCACCTCTCTATTAATAAACTAGCCCATTCTTTCTCAGAAGAGCTAATGCCGGGTCATCTAAGAGACTTGGTATTTAAGGTGTGAAATGTTTTGAACTCTAGATGCAAAGGGCTGTGAGTTCACATTCTTAAAATATTTTCTTCAGGACTACGACTGGTGTAGAATCAGACCAGATCCTTGGGCTTTGCAAGTCTTGGAGGAGTCTGGGCAGAGCAGAGCCGGGTGGAGAGGGCTGCTGCTGGGTCCCCAAGGGCACAGCTCGATGGCGCCCAGTTGTCAGGGCGGGAGCAGATCTGCAGCTGCTGCCAGAGAGTATCCAGCCCTGGCAACTGCCTGTGGAGCTGTGCCAGGCTTGGAGGACAGGCTGGCCTACGGACACGTGCCCACACGCCCCTGCCCAGACCTGGGCCGGCTGCCTACCACCTTCTTTCTGAACAGACACTCCAATACTTGTTGAAAGACGTTTTATTTTCAGTGTTCCATTCCGTCTACTCAGGGCACTGGATGAGATGGCAGCTCAAAAGCAGAGAAGCTGGAGACGAACCCCCACCTTCCCGTGAGGGCCGGGAGTGCCTGCTGACCGCTGGGGGCACGCACACTAGTCAGACCACAGGCTGCACAGGCTCACGGTGCAGATGGGAGGGCACAGGCTGCACGGGACAGAAGGGCCCCACTCCAGCAGCCCTCACAGGACCTGACACACTGGGCTGGGAGCTCCCTCTCAGAGAAGGTCCTTCCCTCCCACCCTCTGAGGCTTGGCCCTGGGGAAAGAGGTCAGAGACCCAACTCAGGGAGATGGGGATGAGAGTAGGGCCTGGAGCACGAGGAGTCAGCAGAAGAGGACAGAAATGGGGAAGGGGCCAGGGAGAAGGGCCACCCCCTGCCTGTAGCAGGGACACTACATGGCGGTAAGAGGAGAGCAAGGCAGGACGATGCTAGTTCGAGACGGAGGCAGGGGTTTCAGAGAACCGTAGTGTTGTTCTGGATGGCCAGCTGGCAGCTGGGGATCAGTCAAAGGAGATGAGCTGGGCTTCGCTGCCCTGTGCCGGAGGGCCCTGTGCCGGCGGCTGCTGGGCCACAGGGGGCGGCTGCTGGGGGGGTCCCCCCGAGGGCGCCATCTGGAGTGGACACACAGGAACCATTGGCCCCGCCTTCCCACCCTCTACTGGCTGTTCTATAGAATGCTCTGCCCTGGTCTCAGCCCCAGTGAGGCCCCGCCCCACTCCCTCCTCCCAGCGTGTGGCCGGTTCCTGGTTCTCTTCCTGCCCCAGCATAGACCCCACGCGTTCCCAACCAATGTCTGTGGAGTTGAGCTGACTTGGCCTCGAACTTTTAAGGAAACGTGCGTAGCTTGGATATCTGTGGGTGCTGTGGTGGGCGTGCGGTGTGTGTTGATGTCCTCGCTGCTGGGAACCAGTCCTGGCCTGCACTGTCTGTCCTCCCCAGGGCAGCCCCACCACCCTCGGCATCCTGAGCCTCGCCGGCAGCCTTGGGAGAGGCTCACCTGCTGGTACATGGGCTGCTGCCCTGAGATGTAGGGCTGCTGTGGGGGCGGCATCGGTGTGTCCTGGCCGGGAAGGGTGTTCATGAGGTTCTGTGAAAATGAAGCGAAACTCACATTAAGGAGTCCTGCTGACAATAAAGGGGGGGCATTTCTGACCTGAAAAATCAAACGCCCACCAGCTAGGAGACCCTAACGGTGGGGAAGGGGGTGTTGAGCAGGATGGCCTGCCCTGCCCAGTGCTCCCCTGGCGTCTTTTCCGTGTGGACGCCTCACAGTCTCTCACCTGCATGCTGTACGGCTGGTAGCCCATGGACACCGACTGGCTCCCCATGTAACCCATGGCACCGGACTGTGGAGGCTGGGAGATGGCCGGGAGGCTCTGTGGGGCCTGGGAGGCCACGTTCTGTGGAGGGAAGGGCGTGATGGGACAAAGGCTGGGGTCTTCTCCCCGGGGGGGGGAGTGGCCCCACCTGCCTACCTGATAGCCCTGCGTGGGGGTGGGCTGATAGGAGGAGTAGGCTGGGCTGGCAGTGGGTCCGGCCGGGCCCTGGGGGGCCGCCTGTGCACCGGTGGCTCCTGCTGGGTACATGTAGGCGCTCACCATGCCGGGATCTGCAGGGGAGAGGAGCAAGCTGGCTGTCCTGCAGGGTGGGGGGCGGGGAGGGGCAGCACTTCGGAGTCTCCCTTTTTGTCGTGACTTTTGGGAGCGAGTTCATGTTTCACGTTCTCCCAAAAAGAAAAGCAACGAAATCAACGAGAATAGGAGAGGAGTTCTAAAACAGAATGAAACCAGAAGAGATGAACCAAACTGTGCTGACAGTGACAGGACGACACGGGAAGCTGGTGAAAATGAGCCCTCGGGCCTTCGGAAACTCAGCGTCTGGAACCTGCGTCCTCGGCCGAGAGGGGACCACAGACCTAGTGAACCTGTCAGCAAGTGCCTGTCCCCAGTGGCTCGGGCTGGCGTTCCCAGAGCCACTTTGTGTGTATCCCAGGAGCGAACAAAACAGCACATGTGGAATGGACGAGAGGCAGGAGAGAGAGGCGTGGGAAGGGGAGGGAGCCCCGTGCGGGATCACTGAAGCTTTGCCTGCCGGAAGATAAGCCGCACGTGTGCGTCTACACGTCCCGGCGGTCCCCTGCGCTGAGCGCACCTGGGCCCGGGTTGCCAAAGAGCCTCCGCTATCAGGACCAGGGGCTCGGTGGACGGGAGCTACGTTTCAGGAAATGGAGCAGCCGGAGGGGTTTCCTGGGGCCACAGGAAACCCTGTGACCATCTGAGCGTCCAAACACACTGTGAAATTTGAATAAAATGGGTCTGCCTGATGAAAGAGTAAACAGGAGAGAAGAAAAAGTGCCTTATTTTGAACAGACCTCTGATCAACAGGAGGAGCGAGATAAAGACACCGTTTGGCAAACGTTATGATAAACTCAGACAAAACTAGCAAAAAACATTAAAACCACAAGCTAAAACCTGCAGAAGAACAAGGATGTAGGTGTCTTATCTCCTCGCCAGGGTCTTGTTGGTTACGGGAAAACCGTCCCCTCCAGGGGGGACACCCAACAGACGGCCCACGCACCACGTGGCCAGCGGCCGGCTGTGCCTTCCTGCTAAACACTGTAGCCCCCCTGATGACTGGCCCAAACACAGCCACGGGCCGTCACGCCGACCGAGACCAGACAAAACCCACTGAGGGGTGGTCTGCAAGACATGGGCCAGGGCTCTTTGAGAAGTCCGTGTCACGAAACACACAAAGTAGGAACATTCTAGGTTAGGGACAAAAAGAAACAGAACCAGTAAAGACAACAACCGTGGGGTTCCTACTGGCACAAAGGGATGTGTGAGAGCTGAACCCGGCTGCGGACGACGTCACACCACGGCCTCAGGGGCTCCTAGCGTGGCATCCGTGCCCAGGCCGGGAGGGAGTGACCTGGTTTTAGGACACCCGTGCCGAGACCACGAGGAGCAAAGGGCATCGGGCCTGCCCCTTACTCTGAGAGGTTCAGGAGAGTGCACATGTGCCCGTATGAAAAGAGAGCGCAAACGTAACGAAACGTTAACGTGGGGAAAACCTGGAAAGCTCTCGGTGCTGTTTTCACTTTCCTGTAAATCCAAAATTACTCCAGAACGAAGAAGGACAAGCTGGTGGTCTGGGGCTCATCGGAGGTGCCCGCCCTGTTACCTGCTCCGGCCCCAGGCATGCCGGCGTAGGGGCTGCCGGCGGTGGGCGCCGGCTGGCTCATGTACACGGTGTGCATGGGGGAGCCCTCCACCGAGCCTGCTGGGCTGAAGGTGCCTGGGAAGCTGGTTGGGCCGGAGGGCTGGTAGAGCACGCCCCCGGCCGCGGGCATGGCCTGGAGCTGCAGACAGAGAGAGACGACGGTCAGGGCGGTCAGGGCAGTACTTGGTCACGGGCGTCGCCGGCTAGGGGTGGGCCCAACGGGGGGTGCATGCCTGGGCGTAGGGCAGGGAGAAGGCGGGCATCTGGGCCCGCATCTGGATGGTCTGCTTCTGCTGCTCCAGCCGCATCTGGCGCTCCTTCTCCTGCTCCTGCAGGCGCTGGATGGCCAGCTGCCGCTGTACCTCCAGGTATTCCTGCGGGCCACGAGGCAGGGGTCAGGGCTGCCCGTACCTGGGCACCCCCGTCCCCCTCCCCCCCCCC